GCCCGGGGCTGCGGGGGGCGCGCGGGGAAGGCCCGGCGGGCCGAGGCCTCACCCGGGACGGGACCTTCTCTCGCCCCCAGATGAGCCCCCGCTACCTACAGAGCAACTCCAGCAGCCACACGCGACCCTTCAGTGCCATCGCGGAGCTGCTAGGTGAGTGGCGAGGGCGGGCCTGGCCGCGATCGCCCGAGACAGCGGTGCCAACGTGGTGCCGCGGACGCGAGAGGAATGTGCGGAGCTGCGCGGGGCGGGCCGGGGTTGGGTTGGGGGCGTCAGGACCCATCCTGGCTCCGCAGGCGGAGGAGGGGGTCGGCTCTGTCGCCGGGGACAAGGTTCCACGAATAAAGCTGAGCAAACAAGGTGTGTCCGAAGACTTAGGACTCCTGTGTGGTTTTTCTCTCTGGTTCATGATGTCTCGGGCACTTTAGGATAACCTAGTTAATAATCAAAAGGAGATGCATAAAAATATCGGGCCCCAAGGCAGCAGGACTCCACACGGACTGGCGACCCATGGAGGGCGCCAAGCTAGCAAAGGGTCACGATAGAGGACCCGTAGGCCGTGAAGAAAGATATGGAAAATGGAATTCTTTAACTTTTGGGACCAGAGAGTCTGGGAATGATGGGACATCTCTTAAGAGATGACACGAGTGCATTTGGCTCCCGGCTACTGCGGAGGGCTAGGTCCGTGGTCCACGAGCGCCCTCACACCGCTGGAATGAATACTGAGCACTTAACCTCTCGCTCCACCGATGTTTGCTTTTAAAGCGTTTTCAGTTGATCCCTTGAAGCCAAGTACACCAGCTTTTGCAGTAGTGTGCTAAATACTGTGTGGAAAGCAAAGAAGAGATACATTCCTGGACAAAATGCAGCAGCATACAGAGCACATTGCAAATGTTTTAAAAATTGAAAGAAGGGAGAGCTGGCTATGGGGCAAGGTAACACAGAACAAAATCTTGAAAATGGTTTCAAAGCTCCCCAAATGAATCACTTTCTTATTTGCAATCACTGTGGCCATGCAGTGTGAATTGTCTCAGGCAAGAAGTCAGTGGGCAGCGGGAGGAGATGGTCAGGAGAGTTATTTGGAAGGGTGATGGGGAATTTTGATGATTCGTTTGACCATAACACAGAATGCTTACAATATGTATGACTGTTTCAATAGGAAGTGAAGGGGAAAAAGTGACATTGGCACGTTTTGAATCCTAGAGAACAGGGACTATATTTTTTAAGGTTTTGCACCGTGCCTTGAATGAAACTTCACAGTGGAATGAGATCTACGTGCATGTAACTTAGCAAAAAACAAAAGAGAGGAAAAAGTACCAATTTACTTAGTGGGAAATGGGAGACAGAAATGTATTGTTCCCTCACAGTGGCACCGCACAAAACGCTGTGTACCTATGCTCTACCGTGTACTGAACTTTACAGTGATTTAAAGAGGGTTCCATTTGTAATTGTGAATATATATGATTTATGTCTTAAGCATTAACTCAGAGAACCTAATTCTGGCCTAAGATGACCCATATGAGTGTAAGTATCTATGTGTGTTATATACATACACACATGCCTGCACATATACGTACAAACACACAGGTTTTAAAATCAAATCACAACTATTTGTGGTCATTTAATACTAGGGGAAAGGGAGAGCAAAGTATTAACTGATAATCCAAAACTTTCATTTTAGGTTTTCCTTCAACAGTTTTCTTCTCCACTTACACATTAATTTTCTGATGAATCATTTATTCAATAAATATTTATTGAGAACTCACTGTGGGCAATGCCACTGTGGTAGGTACAAAAATGAATATAACACAGATTCATATTCTGGTAGGGGAGATAAAAACATGTACAGAAGGTTTATTCTTTGTGTTATGACAAAATAGAAAGTGATATATTGGCAAAGATAGACACATCGGGTGCTGTGGTCATTCAGAGGAAGGACGGATGACTCCAGCTTACCAGGAAGAGGAGGGTTAGGAAAGGCTTTGGAGAGGAGGTGACATTTGAGCTGAGATTTGAAGGATTGGGACATGTGGGTATGGGTATGGGGAGGGGAGGGCATTCCAGGCAAAAGGAACAACTGCATGAATAAAGGCATGAAGAGTATTGAGTAGTTGAGTTTAATTGGAGCATGGAGTTCACAAATAGTCAAAACTGTAGGTCCTTGGAGAGTTTACATAGAGCTTTCACATACATTTTTAACTTTACCCTTTGAGGTAAATGACATCATGGTTATTGTTCTCATCCTGCAGATAAGGATACAGAGGCTCAGAGAATCTACTTGACTTTTCCAAGGTTACATGTTTACAGATCCGAGACTCAAACACTGGTCTTTTTACTCCAAGTACCAAGTAGGGAATGAGGTTAGAAAGGTGGAGTGGGCCCAGGACGTGACTGGGAGGCTTGGGTATTTGGCCTTTTAGTCTGAAGTTTTCTGAGCAGGGGAGTGTCATGGTCAGAGCTGGGCTTCAGGAAAGTTAATCTTGCAGCATTGTATAGGACTGAAAAAGAAGCGAGACATGGCTTTGAAAGACTAGTTATCAGAGTAATCCAGATGAGAGGGAATAAACTCTGTAAACTAAGAAAGTGACAATGGAAATAGAAAGAGCAAGATGGGAGAGAGCCTAGGGATGTATAGGGTAAAGGAGAGAAGGATAAAAAATGACTTTTGAATTTCAAAATTGTGGTCAGTTGAATGCTGACACTGTGTGTGTGTGTGTGTGTGTGTGTGTGTGCACACGTGCGTGTGTGTGTGTTTGTACAGAGAGAGAGAGAGAGAACAAGAACACAGAGGAAGAATAACCTTGTATCAGAAGATGATGTCCTTAATTTTCAACAGGAATACTTTTTGATGCTTGCAGGATGTCTATAGGGCAGCAGCTTGGCCCTGGCAACCTTGCAGGAATCCACATAGGTCATCCTCCTGGAACAGGAGAGGATGGGAGGAAGCCCTACCTCAAAGCCATCTCCCACTTGCTGTCATCTCTCCAGTGATGCTGTCACGGGACAGTTTCTAATTGCCTCCCAGGTTATGATGAGCTATGAAGCTTGAGTTACAATGCTTTTTTAGAAGACCAGAGGTCAGATGATTAGGGGATAAGATAGATTCCCAGGGATCTGGTTTCTCATGCTCTTGCCTAAGTGGTGAGAGAGGGGAGTTAGAGTCCTCCCACTAAGGGTGGCATGGGCCGGGTTAGGAGAGCTAAAACTCCTTGGGATCTGGTAGCACATGAGATTGTGCAGCTCTTACCTAAGTGGTGAGTGAAGGGGAAGGAATTGGGGTTCTCTCACTGCCCTACCTGTTCATAGGCTAGGTGGGCTGGGCCATGGGAGAAGGTAGATTCCCTGGGATTTGATAGCATAAGCTTCGTGTTGATAAATTTTTGGAAGGTTAAGCAGCAAGAGGGAAGATTGAAACCATCCTCCAGATTGGTGCCTTATTATTATAAGTTCGTTTATCAAGGCCGACCTTGTTATTATTATAATTTCATTTGTTGAGGCTGAGTGGAAAGCCACTTAAAACTGAAAGTAAGTGCAAAGCTGTACTGACTGCTGCTGGCCTGCCTGCTGATCTCTTTTCCCCTGCTGCTCCAGCTGACCCTGGCCTCTGGAGTGCCCCCCCCCCCGCCATACTCCACCTGCTTCCAGCCAAGGAGATAAAATATCTAGCTGCTCCTGGCAGTTACCTTGTAACTCCTGAAATGCCTGTATTAAAACTCTTTGGTATATTCCTGTAAAAAACAACAAAACCAAACCAAACCAAAACAAAACCAAAACAAAAAGCACCTAGTAAAGTTTGGGCAAAATTTGTAGTAAAGAGAAAAAAAGTAAAAGTGGTTTTGTGCGAGGACTGAAAGCTGGTTCATTGAATGTCCAATTGTACAAAGGCAGGATTGGAATTGATATATGTTGTATGTTTCAATTGTGAATGTTCATAAAGTGTTAGAAAAAAATTCCTGTATGTCCAAAGTTTTCGGAGTAGAAATGAGGTCCTGTTGGTGGACAAGTTAAAGGTATCAGTCTCAGTGGCCCTGGCTTTCTGCCAGCAGGAGTGATTGATAGGTTCTAAAACAATTCAGGGCCTGCTTGCCAAGTGGTTTCTTGAAACAATGTAGGCAACTTCACAATGCTGAATCCTTCTGTCAGTTAAAGAAAAAAAAACTGCTGCCTCTTGTTACAAAGTAAAACACTGTATTTCTGATAAAGCCTCTGTTGCATGTCAAACTTAAAATTGCTGCCAAAAGCTGGCCCAGTTGATTTACCACATGACACAAGGCTCGACCCCAACTAGTCCTTAAAGATTGACTATATCAGACCTTTTAACCTCCCTCTGGGGCTGTTAGTGATTCCTTAGTGCTATTAAGACTTTTGGGGGGTTACACTGAGTGACAGTTTTATCAGTGACTCTGGCAACACCATTGGGGCCCTTGAAATTAATCTGTCTTGTTTTATTTGATGGACATTCTACACATTTAAGTGATTGTAACTGATACTTTTAATTGTGTAATAAAGTTGATGTTTTGAATATGTGCAATACTTTTCTTGCTTGTGATGGATGTTTCCAGTAGAGAAATGCCATGATTTGAACACTGGTTGTGGGATGAGTATACAACCAGAACCCCACCTGGATCTCTCAGCCCAGCCACATAAGTGTCAGTAAAGTAGTATAGAATGTCAGGGAAAGGGAAAGGGGTGGAAGGGAAGGTCTTTGTCTTGATGATTAAAGAGCTAAGAAAGACAGGAATGCTTAAGAAACATATCCAACAGGTTGTACAAACTGCCCTCCCACTCAGGCCGGTGAGCCCTAATGAGGCTTTTGTACCACGTGTCAGTGACTGACAGTTATGTAAACTGGTGCCTATGGCAAAAAGATGTGGCCACTAGACAATGGCGCCCCCGGGGATGTAGACATGGCACACATGTTAGAACATGCTAGATTTGATGTCTTTGGAGTCTTAGCTAATTAACCCATTTTGAAGACCTAACTCAGGAAGAATCATGAAACTTTCTATATATTTTCTTCCTACTTTAATCCTATGTTCTCCATTTAATGAGGTTGGACAGCCTCACCTTCAAGACTATTACAGAGTGCCTAAGCAGAATCACTCCTTCTCTCTAAGCATGTTTTTCCCTATAACCTAGTAAGTGCACTACCATTAATGCTCCCTGCTCACCTTCTGGAACATTCACATGAAGGGAATAAAGGACAGTTTCTATGTCTTAGGGGCACTGAAGTAGACATTTTAGTAGAATATTAGAAAAAGAGATCTGATATCACAGATTTCTACCTTTTGCAGATAATGCTGTAGATCCAGATGTATCCGCCAGGACGGTCTTTATAGATGTTGAGGAGGTCAAGAATAAATCTTGTTTGACCTTTACTGATGATGGATGTGGGATGACACCTCATAAACTACACCGAATGCTCAGGTAAAAATGTCTTCATTCTTTTTCCCATGTCGTGAGTTCATGAACTCTATTTAAAGCTTAATAATGTCCTTTAGTATTTTACTTTCCCTTTATTCACTGAACCAATATTTATTGAGCAGCTGTTACGTGCTAGGGCACTGGTTATGTAATAGACACTTTCTTCACCGAACTTACAGTCTAGCTGGCAATTCAGACAGTCAAGCAGTAATCATAACAAAAAGTGATAGGTATAATGATAGGAAAGTATAAGATGCAATGAGATAACTTACCAGGGGAACCCAGTCTGATCCAGGAGGTCAGGAAAAGCCTCTTAAATGAAGTGATATTTAAGCTGAGATCTAAGGGTAAGTAGTAGAATTTAACATGGTGAAAGAGCAAGGGGCAAGGGATGAGAGTCTAGGCAAATAAAACAGCAAGAGTATAAAGACCTGGAGGTCTTCAGTGGTCTGAGACCTCCTCCAATTTATATTAACTTAAATGCACTCTTAGATCACAAGTATTGGAGTTGGAACAATTTATAGATTAGAATGATGAACATGCCTGGATTTAATCAAGCCTCACAAAGGATAAATAGAGGGCATCATACACATAACCTTTAATGGTTTTGTAGTAGAATTGCAGAGTTAGAGAGTTCTCTTTTCTAACTGCTGAAGACTGGTGATACAGTTTTCTCTTGCACTCTGAGTTCATGTAATTACTCTAAAACGTTTGTAGTTGAGAATGTAAGTTTGTACTTCATTATCTTCACGTATCACTCAGTGAAAAAGAGTATTTCCTCAACTCCTTCCTTCTCTCTTCCTTTTTTAGCAGATGAGGTTGGTTACTCTCCACATGGCTTCCTGAACTAGTGTGTGAAGCATGAGTAACAGTAGAGGGATTTGGTAGAGGAGGGAAAGGGCTCTGAGCTATAAAAATGGAAAAATTCATTTAGTTGTAGTTCTCTTTGAAGGTATGCTAATTCTATAACCCTATTTGTAGGGATGTCCCTTTGATCCAATAAAGAAAAGTGAAATTTGAGCATAACCAATTATAAATTTGGTTATGTTTTACCACTTAGCAGTCTATGTACCTTCTGTCTCAGATCCTCATAATTAGAAGAATATTTGAGGAAGAATGTGATCAGTATGATGGTAAAGGTATAGAGTTGGCCCTGTTTTTAACTTACAGCCCCACTTTTATCTCCCAAAGTTAATATTTTATATTAAGAAGAACAGAATGTTAGATGGGATAGAACCAAAATAATTATGTGTCTAATTCTATATGTACTAGTTTTTTTCCCTGAAACCACTTATCCTCTTATCATTTCCTTCCCTCCAACCTTATCCCAGTGACATGGGTGTCATATCTTACCACCTTCCATTTTGTCTGTGAAACTACATCTCTGAAAGTTGGTGCTTACAGTTACAAGACAGGAGGAAGGAGGAGGATGGTTTTGAAATAATTGTAATGATTTTTGTTCCAGATTCTTTAAACAAATTTTTACTGAGCACCTATGTGAGAGTCACTCTCCAGTGTGGTGAACCAGACATGAGCCTTGTTGTCAAGGAGCTGACAGTTTAGTGCGAAAGATAGAAAAGCATCAACTAGTAATACAACTGCATAGGTTATCCCACTAGTGGTAAGTGCTGTGAAGGAGGAGTGCAGTTTCTATGAGAGCATATAATGAAGGGATCTAATCTAGTCTGTGTACTCAAAAAAGTCTACCCTGAAAAAATGACATTTGAGTTCAAATATGAAGGATGAGCAAAACAGACAGAATCTGCTTTAGCCTTTGCATCTTTTGATATTATCATGCCAAATATGTTTCCCTCTAATTTGAGCTGGACAATTGTTCCTCACATTTAAAAATTAATTTTAGAGAATTTTTTAAAATTAGTCCTCAGTTGTGTATAGTTATATGTTTTGGATTTTATTTCTGATCATATCTTAAAATAAACTTGAATCAGTTAGAAGGTTCCATTTATTTAAAAGAGATCATTTAGTTCAATTCTAACCTCCAGCCAAGGATTCAACTTACTACAGTTTGTTTTTAAATAGATGAGCTTTAGAGGTAGCTTTGAAAATTATTATTAAGTATGTTAATTTTTCTGTTTGTGGTTTGGGGCATATTACTTTTATATTTAGAAGAAATAATAGAGATAATTATGCAAAATTATTAAGCCTACAGAAATTCTATTTGACCTATAACATTTGTTATAATCTTATCCACATTTTCCAACTCTTTATGCTGTTCTTCCTATTTTCAGGCTAATAAAATAGTTATGTACCTGAAGCAACAGTTTCTCCCATAAATACAGAGCCCCATGAAAATCAAGTTAAAAAGAAAAAGCCTATCATTAAATTCCTTTAAGATCCACAATTAATTTTCTTTAGCTTCTGGGGATAGTGTGTGAACCAGCTAGTCTATGTATTTAGTTGCCTTTTTCAGCAGGGTGGAAACCCTCTTTTAAAAGTCAAGGATTAAAAGCAGCCACAGATTCGTGGATTGAAGGTATTTGCTACCTCTGCTCAGAAGTGAATTTCCTAGTTCTTCCAAAGCAACAGCCAGGGAGTAATAATGTGCTTAGCAGTCTTTCATGCTTTTATATTACATATTGTATCAACCAGTATATCTAGGGGACAGCAGTACCTGCCCTTGTATGTCCATGAATTTGCTAAAGTTTGTTTCATTGGTCAGAGTCCAGATTTAAAATTACCTCTCTAGATTCTAGAATCTTGACATTTAAAGGAACTCAGGAGAAAGCTTATATCTTCCTGGATTCCACTCAAAGAGCTGATATCCCAGCAGTGTGTACACATTGAGTCTATTATGTGAGAGGTTAGAACAGGATTTTCTTGATAAAGAGAAACCACCTGTCCAAGCCTAGATATCTCTGTGGAAAATCAGTGAACTATACCAAACTATGTAAGATTCATTCCTGCAATTCTGTTATCTATTGTGAGGCTTGTATATTAGGTAGTTATTGGTTGGTATCTGACAGCCCTTCTGTGATTTTCAGTTAAATGGAGTACCTAACATGGGAATGCAGGTGAAATAAAAGAACACGCGAAAAGAGTTAAGGGTAACATAACAACAATAACATACTGAGCTTCCAGCTCCTCTCATCTCATTATTCTCATCCTTTTCCATTTCTGGTTCTGGCCCTGGCCCACTACTTATCTTCTCAACCTTATATACTCATTTGATCTCCCAAAACTATAACACAATGAAAGTTTACACTTACAAAGGAGAAAGAAACAATAAATGGCAGAAGAGTCAGGAATGGTAAGGAAATTAAAGGAATAATATAGTCTTCCTATTTTCACCACTTACCCTCGATCACCTAATTTGAAGCTTTTGTGGCATTAGAGAAGGTTAAAGTCCAAATAACCTTGCAGATTCATTTCATGTAGTTTATGAAGAGCCCTGAGTTTTAGATATGCCATTAAATCTGAAGTAGAGGTAGAGGTTAGCACATGACAATTCTTAGAATGACTTCTAGAAATACTTTAAAATTAAAATTTGAATGCCACTTTGTAAGTTAATATATACATACAGTGTATTATTTAGTCCTCCTAACGACCCTATTGTTTTTAGGTAATTCTTCCACAAGAGGAAAATGAACGCCTGACTCTTACCTTTGATAAAGTTATTTCCTGGAATACTAAGACCCATAGGCTGCAGAAACTTAATGCTCTTTTGGTATTTTAAAAGGAAATTCTGCCCTAGAAATTACCTTTTTATGTGGTTGGATTTATTTGTTAGATACACAAAGCTCCTGTAAAGTGTCTGTTCTAGAAGGACATAATGGTATTATTGTATAACACTTTGAAATAGAAAATTAAAAGGTAGGCCTCCTTCCTTAGGGAGTAAACACAAACCACAGCCTCCACGAAGTAGAAATCAGGCGCCTCATCCGTGCTTAAAATGGTAAGAGCCAAAGCCAAGCTGCTCAGCCGTAACAGATGGAACATCTACTTTATTGATGTAGGAGAAGCATCTAATCTGTAATATACAAAATCCTTCCTCAAACTGTAAACCAGAAGGGCAAGAATGTCTCTTTTAATTATTGTGTCTCCAGTGCTTAGCACAATGCATGGCACATAGCAGGTACTCAGTAAATATTTATTGAGTGAATGGTAGTATACACGTTGTAAACTTAGTTCATCTGGAGAGAACCAACCCTTAAAAATTAGTTTTATTTGTGACTAGAGGAGATATATGAATCATTTTCTAGATTTATTAAGAAGATAATAATCATTTTCTAGACTTCATGTCTTTACATTTTGGGGGTTTAATTATTTTGTTGTGTGTTTGAATGGAAAATCTAAGAAAGAGAAAGGGTCTGGCTTCCAGATTAAGCTGATCACATAAGAGGCTACAGAGATTGTTGAGGTGACTCACTGAAAGGCCCTTGATAAAACAAGAGAGACTTTATACTGCAGCTGTTTGCTGATATTCAGAGGCAGAACTACCTATTTTTATCCCTTGGCCACATTCCAATGAACTGTCCCAGCAGATGGAGCAGAGGGTAAGAATTGAAAGTGTTATCCTTTGGGTGAATAGTTGAACTTGTCAAGCTATGTAATCTCTGGCTTTCAGAGTTCTAGAGGGCAACATAACTAGATTGGGGATGCCTAGTCTTGTACCTCCGAGTAGTGCTAGTATCTGGTACTCTTGTTACCCTCTCCAAGGTGTGCTCAGAGATAACCACCCTTTTCGTCTTCCCTTAACTTTACTATTAGTGATCAGAGCTATTTTCTCGAGATAAGAAAAACAGCTGCCCATGGCCTTTTCCAGCTCTCTCTGTTAGTGGAAAGAAGCTGCCTTTACATTTATAAAGCATGACTCTAATGTAATGGAAGTGTTTATATACTCACAAACCACACAGGAAAATCAGTCCCATTTCTCCATAGTAATTGCCTATGTTTTTAACTTAATAGGTTTGCCCAGAAATACCAAAAAGAAGGAAAAAGTGGGGGGGGCTTTTTACAAGTTTTCTTCATTTGTAAGCCAAACATTCTGCCTGTCACCTATCTTAGGGTGCTTTTTACCTTTCTAATTTATTTTTTTCTCATTTCTTTTTTCTTGTGTAATTGCAGCTTTGGCTTTACAGATAAAGTAATAAAGAAGAGCCAGTGTCCAATCGGAGTCTTTGGTAATGGTTTCAAGTCAGGCTCCATGCGTCTAGGAAAGGATGCTCTTGTCTTCACCAAGAATGGGGGTACTCTCACTGTTGGACTACTGTCACAAACCTATCTGGAATGTGTCCAGGCCCAAGCAATTATTGTACCAATTGTTCCATTCAACCAGCAAAACAATATCCTTTCTAGAAATGGAAAATGTTAGTTAAAAATTAGTCTAATCTGACTATTTTGATAGAAACAAATCCAGCTATCATTTTCATATATAAAGAGGTATTCAAATGTCTTACATTTAACTAGAATTTAATCCTATTAAGTACTTTTAAAATAAATGAACCATTGACAGAGGCTTAGAAATGTTTTTGTTACATTGCAGTTTTCACTGTTAGGCGATTTGAACTATGTAGTGTCTCCCCTATCCCACCACTCCCATGGTAAAGTTCCCCGGGGCCTTCTATTTTTTTCCCCTAAGGGTAGTTACATTTGCGTCATACCCCCAGAAACATACTATTCATCAGCTTATCTGATAGCTAATAGCTCATTTTCTTATATCTGGACAAGCTATTATTTCTGTCAGACACGAGGTTGTTTACGCAAGCAGTATAGCAGTAAAGTTTGAACTCATTGCTTCCAAAGAGTTGAGAGGTTCAGCCTTTGACCTATTTCTTAAATATAAGGCTGCCTTAGTTTATGTTGTATCTTTGAAGCTATATTCTGCAGCAGTAGCTGATTTTGGTGTTTATCTTTACAACCTTTCTGTGTTTTCCCCATTTCCTTTCTTCTGTAGCAGTAATGCCCATGCTTTATATCTATATGTCTATATTTTGTCTCAACATGCAACCCAAAAGGCAGATCTTCCTAACTGATAGCATCCTCTTAAGATATTAATTTTTCTTTGACTATGTTTGGTTTTACAAAAAATGATTATTACTGAGGATTCCTTGCCCAGCCTAGAAGCCATCTTGAACTATTCAATTTTCAACAGTGAAAGTGACCTGCTGTCCCAGTTTGATGCCATCCCAGGCAAAAAAGGCACTCGTGTTCTCATTTGGAACATCCGCAGGTATAGTATTCCAAAGGTGATAGATTCTAATAAGCAAAGGTAGTATGATGAAGCACATTTCAATTAATCTCTCTAGAGAAGCAGAGCAGATGAATTTTGATACATATTTGTATCTCATTACATACCTTCCCTTAACTTTTTTAGAACTACAGCTCTGTTTGAGACAATGCTCCTTACTGGTAAAATGTGGAGATTGATAAAGTGGAGACATGCATATCCTGTGGCTAATTACCATCGAGATAGTTTAACATTATGCTAAAATCTCCAGACTCCATTATAAATGTCTGCTTTATATTCATGGACACTGTTTTGCGATAGGTCAGTGATAGTTATTTTACCTATTTGACGATGAAAATGAAGTATGAGAAATTAGGGTACCAAAGCACAAGACAATCTTTAAAAATAAAGACCTCTGTATTAGTGCTTTCAGAGTAGCTGGATTAGAAGTAGAAAAATCTTTGAAGCAGATAAATTTGAACTGTAATGAGGGTGGCTCCAGGTCACATATTTAAAGCTAATAAAACAATCTGGAAATCATACCTAGGGTATGTCATCTGTTTAGCCTTGTCATGTTAAATGGAATACATTTAACAGTGTCTACTGAAACCTAAAAATTTTTAATATAGAATAGAAGTGTTACTCTTAATGTTTAATAGAACAGAATGTCAGATATATTCATTCTTCTTTTTCTCCTTAGGTCAAGTATTTTACCTCATATCTTAGGTGGGTAAAACTTAGATAAAAACAATGCTGGTTCATATAGACAGTACTTTCAATTAAAAAAAAGTAAGGTAATACACATCTTCTGTGTCCTGCTCGGAAAGCCTCAAGTAACATAATTTATATCATAAAGGATCATTTTCATGAGGTATTTTCAGTGATTGAAACACATTAAGCAGACTTTTTTCTTTGTACATTGTTTTTCAGTTATATGATACTAGGTGTTATGTAAATAAAGGATTCCATGGTCAAATAACTTTGGGAAAAGCTGGCTTAAGCAAAGCTTTCCATGTTAATTTATTGCAGGATCTCTCACAGGCTTTACTGTGCTAATGTTATTTCAAAATGCATTGAAAATATTTAAGAGAGCAATACAGTATGCAGTATTTCCCAATTTCAAAAACTTTCTCAGGACCTCTTTTCCTTGGATGATGGGTGGTGAGGGGCTGGGAGGACAGGGAATCTCCTCAGAGTATATGTGTTTGATTTGGGTTGGGTGGCAATAATCAGGATTACCCTGGAAAATACAGAATATATTATTATAGTGACAAGAGCTTTATACAGGACATGTATTGTAGTGGCTTTGGTTTAGCCCTGAAGAAGGCGCTACATTTTCAATGCAGCAGCCCTGAGCTTGTGAAGCCTAAAGTATGAGGAGGGTATCCCTAGAGCTTGAGGTGGTTCTGAGAGCCAGGAATTGTTTTTCAATTTTTTATGATTAAACTGCCTTTATTTATGTCTTTATTTCTTTTTTAAGAATATCTTAAAAAAGGGGGAGGGGATACTGCTCCACAGAGCAAATTTTGGGAACTATTGTTCTGTTGTATATTTTTTCCCTATAATATAACCCATTATTTGTTTTGAGTTTTTTCTGGGAACAAAGATAAGTCTTGCCTTTTTTCCTTGCCAGTTGCTAGTGATGTAGCCCAGGGTCTTGGAATGGGCCATATTTAAGTGACCCAAAAGGATTATGAGAAGAAAGCTCCTTATGAAAGGAACAGGAATAGTATCATATTTAAATGATAATTCCATAGATGATATACTAGAAGACTAACAAATATATGCTGTTTCTATAACAACCTTTTTTTCCTTCTAAAAAATAGGATTAGACCTGGAGAAATATTATATCGTTAGTCCTTATACTATTGTTGAAGTTAGAAAGAGTAGGTTTTGATTCATTTCTTTATTCAGTTGGGGAAAATGATGTTGAATGACCTACCAAGCAATACCCAGAAAGCTGGGATCTGTTTAAGATCCTGCTTCAAGGAAAGCTGACATCCATTTGATTTATTAAATCACAGATACTACCACCTTGCTTTTTTTAAAATTTCCTTCTGTACTTGGCATCATCATGTCTATGAAATGTAGTATATTTGTTAAGACTGGAAATACTCTTAAATATTGTGTGATCTTCAAACCAAGTAACCTGTAGTTCCTTTGCACTGGTAGTCAGGGAAAGAAGTAGGTATCTGAGTTTTGGCTTATTTTGTTTCTTTTCTCTTGGGTTCCTAGTGCATTTTTGTCCTTTGGAGCCAGTTTTTGTTAGATTGGTACTTGTCTCTTTTACCCAGAAATAAAGATGGAAAGTCCGAGTTGGACTTTGATACAGATCAGTATGACATCCTGGTATCAGACTTTGGCACAGAAGAAAAAGAGACTGGTGGTATTACCTCTGAGCTGCCAGAAACAGAGTATTCTTTACGGGTGAGTAAGAGTGGTTTTTCTTCAACAGTGAGAGGTAAGATGTCCTGTAACGTGAAAATATTATGGAACAAGATCTCACTTTAGTTATATAAAGATGACATCCTTTTAAACTTATGGTAGGATTCCTCTTCACTGTCTTAACTGAAACAGTGTAGCTAACATAATCAGCAGCACTTAGTGTGGTAGTTGACATAGCATAACAAGGTATAGAAACTGAGCCAAATCTTTGCCCAGAATAGACCTCAGTTGCTAGCAGTTTTTTATGCGGACGTCAGTAGCATTGGCAATATTGTATAACTTTCCGTTCACTGTTCCTTAGGCATTTTGTGGTATTTTATATATGAAGCCACGAATGAAAATTTTTCTGCGTCAAAAGAAGGTGACTACCCAGATGATTGCCAAGAGCCTGGCCAATGTAGGATATGATATATATAAACCTACCTTCACAGTATCCTTACAACTACGTGAAGCTGACCTCTTTGTTCCAGGATTAGATTTCCAAGTTGGCACAGAAAAACAAAAACCTTTCCTTTTCCAATTCAAACATGTGTGTTATAGTACAAACCCTATTTCATTGTACCCTGAGGAGGTATTTCTTGAATGCCAGTCTATGCACCAGTTTTATCAGCAATCACTTGGAAATTATTAAAATAATACAACATCCTGAGGTTTTAGAGATTCTAGTTCAGTGAATTTTGAAATCTCTCTTTTTAATAAATAGTCATTTCTTTTAAAAATCCTCAGCTGATTATAACAAATAGCCAGGTTTGAAAAGCTCTGCTGTAAGGAATGATCCACACCATTTGGTTTGTACTGGAATTTCATTATATATTACATTGACTGAAATAAGCAAAATATTGACTAGAACTTGTTAATCTTTTGGACATACTATGATTTTTGTCATAACAAGTCCAGATTTATGTTGATAGAACTTAAGAGAGTGGAAATTAAAGGTTGATTTTCTAGGGTAAGATAAATCTTCAACAGATTTGACTTGGATTTCCTGGTACTTCTCATAATGGCAGCCACTCAGAGAATAATTACTCACTTCTAACCTCCATTGTCCTGGGAATGAATTTCAAAGTCTTGAGAAAATCTTAAATTATAGAAATTAGGTCCATCTTCACTGATAGATTTGGGGGCCAAGAAAGTCTTTGAAAGGGTGAGAATTCACAAGTAGTTATGAAGAATTGCTCTTGTAATTTATTTTCTAGTAACTAAATTCTGCTCTTGCCCCAGGAAACATGTTCACACTCTATTTGCTTTATCAAAGGTGTTATCTAGCCCGCTTTGTCTTTCTTCCTCTGACCAAAAATTAGAAATTGCTATTTCCTTTTTAAAAGCCATATAGTTGTTACTCATAAGCAGATGGATTTTCTCCTTTTGGAGAACACATACCTTGTCTGTTTTTTTTTAAAGCTCTAAACAAACCCGACTTAACAAAGCCAAAGCTAACATTGGTAGTATCTGTAGGCAAATTAGTTATAATATCACTGTATGTAGCTAGGATCTTAGTGCTGAAGGTTTAATGGAGCCAGTCTAAAAAAGTGCTTTTCAACTACTGTTTCAGAATATACCACATTTCTGCCTCCAGCTTCTTTCTTTTGTTGATTTCTATCAGGGTAACTCCTATGCGTGCATTCCATGTGTACCTCAGCTCTTCTCAGCATCCCTTCCCATTAAATTAGTTACCTTCCCCTATTAGAATTTGGGTTAAACAAATTCACTATAGGCATGAAACTACTAATAGAGTTTCCCTAAGATCACTGAAGGACAAGATTACTGATACTAACTTATTTATTCCTCAGTTATTAAAGGATCTCCTCTTGTCCTTTCTCCCTATACTAATTTGGGGGAACCTCCTACCCCAGTGTACTCCCACCCCATAATTTAGAATTTAAAAGTATACAACAGAAAGAATTTGACAGTCTTTATCTTTAAAATGTTCATTTTTTATTGAAATACAGTCAGTTGCAATGTATCAGTTTCTGGTATACAGCACAATGTCCCAGTCATGTATATACATACACATATGCATTTTCATAAAAAATGTTAATTTTATGGTATACAGTTTTGGTTTTTTGTTTTGGAGAGTTTTGTCCTGTTCTGTTTTTACACTGGAATAGGATCTTATTTGAGGTTTGATTTAAGCTTCTAGAACCCAGAACATTATATGTTCTGAGCCAAATATTACTTATGTATGTACCCACTTGTATCATGTCTTCATGTAATACCTGACCCATTTGTCACATGCATTTGATGCCAAGTAGCTTGTTCTTAGAGGGGGTAATGGAGATTATTTCTTGAAAAAGTAATACAAACAGATTTTCATATGACTCATTTTGGACATGAGGATTTCTTAGTACTTTTTTAATGAAAATGTAAGTTTCTCTGTCTCCCCTTTGTCTTTCTCACTGTCTTACCTTGGTTTTTAAATCAAATAGGACTTGCTAAAAACTGATAATTATTCATGTTTTATGTACAATAATTAGTTCTCTTTATTTCACTTACCCAAGCTTGTTAACTTCTTTCCATGAAATATATTACAACAGGACTATTTATTGTCCTTTACCTTTAAGTAATTTTGTTCTTGGTGCTTTTGCTGTCATTGTGTTTTGTATGGTAGCCACACTTACCTTATTGCTTATAATTGTGTGGATCTGTGTTGTACCATGTACAATTCTTACCTTACCTAGCAGCAAATGAAGCAATTAGCAATGGTTAAGAAACATTTTGTAATTATTTATGAATTTTTAAATCACTGATAGTATTTTGGTATATTTTCTTACAGTCTTTTCTATGTATATGCATTTATTTTTAAATTTTATTTTTATTGAAGTATAGTTGATTTCCAATGTTGTGTTAGTTTCTGATGTACAGCAAAGTGATTCAGTTATACATATATACATTCTTTTCATATTCTTTTCCATTATGGTTTATTACAGGATGTTGAATATAGTTCCCTGTGCTATACAGTAGGACTTGGTTGCTTGTCTATTTTATATATATAGTACTTTGTATCTGCTAATCTCAAACTCCCAATTTTTCCCTCTCCCCTTCCCCTTTCCCTTTTGGTAATCATAGTCTATGTATATATTTGTAATACATATTTTTAGATGATAATTGTTACTATAGTCTGAACATTTCCTAATGTTCCCAAATATTTTTCAAGGACATCATTTTAAGAGCTGCATAATAGACCATATGGATATACCAAGATTTATTTAGTCATTCCCTTATTATCAGACATTTAAATTACTTTTTTAGCCATTATAAATAATTGATAAATTTCTGTAACTACTAAAACTGTTTGGTCTTCCCTGGTTATTTCTGTAGGATAAATTCCTAGAAAGAGAATTATTTGGTCAAAGTTTAAGAATATTTTCAAAGCTATTGCTACAGATTTTTTAAATGCCTTCTAGAAAGGTTGTACCAATTTGTATCCCGTGGTGTCTGATGTTTTTTGCTATAATACAGTACAAAATTTTGTCTGCTAAAACCCCTGGTGTTTGTCTCCTTAATGATTTTCTTCTCAGAATAAGCAGGTGAAAATAACTTTTGGGTTCTCTTGCAAGAATAATAACCAGTTTGGAGTAATGATGTATCATAATAACCGACTCATAAAGTCTTTTGAGAAGGTGGGATGCCAGGTGAAGGTGAGTAGTTAATGCTTCTTTGACATAGAATGCCGAGAAGAGTCAGAAAAGGATTTAAAATTTGCAAAGGGAATATACTCATGAGTGGCTTTTTATTCCCATCTTGAGTTGGTTGTTAAATCTGATCCTGGAATTCTGTGTTACCAGTGAACTGACTTGTGTCCAGAAGCTCTTTTTACTTCTCATTCTTTGTAGAGTTAATCAACCCAGGAACTTTACTGAATGCATTTTCTAGGTGGCTATTAATAAGAGGGAGAATTAGAGCATAAGCAACTCTGCCATGTGTATAAGCTTCTAGTGTTTAAGGTTGCTCTTTCCATTTTCTTGGGAAGACAATAAAGCATAGTGGAAGATACATAAATTTTAGTGGATGATGACAAGAATTCGAGTCCCAGCTTTTCCACCTAAAAGCTGTATAACCTGTGCTCTGTTGTTTAACTTCTCTGAGGCTCAATTTTCTTACTGGTAAAATGGAAACAAGAATAATAATTTTACCTGCTCTGCCTACCTTAGAGTTTAAGGATTGAGAGCTTTAAATGGGATAAATTAAGTGAAAGTATTTTATAAACTGAAGAATACAAATATTACCATCATCTTAAAATTTTAATGACAATTTAAAATAGTAATATCCACAAGTATCTCATTCATTCCTGTTTTGCAGATAAGATTGCTCAAGCACAAAGAATGATAAACTGCGTTATATTACACAGTAGGACAAAGTTACATATGACCCAAGAGAGCTAGTTTTCAGCCTATATTGCTTTTCATTGTTATATTGTCTTTATACAGCTTGTTTGTGTGCAAGTCTAATTATACTTTGACTCCTTTCCTTCTATTAAAGAATACAAAAATGATTTTAAATCCAAACATCTCTTGTATCAGTTTGTAATTAATAATCACTGCAAGTCTGACTCTTTTTAGTAGTTGTTTGGTGGCCTACATATATAAAAATTGTTTATTTTAATAGAATATTTTAATTACATAACATAATTAAATTTTTTTCAGATGAAATTTGCTTTCAGTTCCCTAGAACAGGAGTATATAACCATGATTTTTTAACCCTGTCACTCTTTGTTTAAATGAAATCTTATAACTATCTCATAATATAAAACAGTTGAAAGTGGGCAAAGTGTGGGTGAAGTAGAGATAACTATTAATCCCCCCCTGGAAAATCCTGGGGAACCTATGGAGCACAGTTTGAAAATCTCTGCTCTAGATTTTGCCAGAGGTTCCAGTTCATTATAATACAGTCTGTTGAAGTAGATCCTCCCTCAGTGATTCTCTAGATCTTGCTGCCCTTTCCTTGCCCATGGACGTTACGCAACCCTTCTATTATTTTTGGAATCAAAAGGAAGTGCCTCCAGACAGTCAACAGTAATGTAAGTGTTGAAATTAATATTTTTCTTCTAAGCCAACTCATGGAGAAGGTGTGGGAGTAATTGGAGTCATTGAGTGCAATTTCTTAAAACCTGCCTACAACAAACAAGACTTTGAGTACACCAAGGAGTACCGGTGAGTCACTCCCAACCTGAGGTGTTTCTGAAAGTTTCTTCAGATGTGATTCTATTCTCTGAAATGTCTAAAATCATCTCTAAAAACCAGCCAGATAAGTTAACTTCCTTCAAATCTATTACCTAAAATTAGAGATAAAATGATTTGATTTTTCTGTTAAAGCTTGCTGATACATGATATATGGAACCCAACTGAGATAAACCTTAACTTTAAAAATTATGGAAAGAGCATAGAAATTTAGTAAAACAGTTCTGGTAAAACAAAGAGCCTTGGAATTGATCTTAATGAAAAGAGATGAGTGCATATAAAGTTAATGAATATGTTGAGGGAAAAAAAAAAGCAGTTTGAAGTTTGTCCCGAAAGATTTTCTTGAAGTCAGTGAACAGACTGAGAGGAACGTATTGGAGTGGCAGGAAAGACGTATGTTTTCAGGGAAACATTTAATGGGTAAGACCAATAAAGAGTCAGAAAGGAACTTGACATTGAAGCTGAACCAGCAAGGATATGTTTAGGAGACAAAGAAAGGAGTTGTTAAAGCCAGTATATAATTGTTTTAAAACTTTTGGGGAGGGATGGATCATACATTCCTTCTTTAATTAAGTATTATGAGATATCTCCTACGTGCCAGATACTAGCTCCATAAGAATAAAAGGTAACAATCATTGATGCCTATGAACAAATGGGATAAGATGTATGTAAATAAGAAACTTAAATATCTATAAAATAATTACTTTAATGGGAGATATATGCAAAATGGGAACAACGTTTAAATATGCCTACCAGAGTCAAGGAAGGCTTCACAAAGCAAAATATATTTGACTTAAAACTTCAAGGAAAAATTGGAGTTTGTTTGGTAGACAGATAGGGGAAGGACATTCTAAGCAGAGGGAAGTATGTGAAAGGGCGAAGAGTGTTCTAGGAGTATTGAGAAAGAAGGCATAAGGACATTTGGTATTGTTTTCCTTAAAATCTCAATAACAAACTTTTTCTTAGAGTAGAGGAAAAGTAATTCCCCAAATCTCTTTTGTTTTGTGTCCAAAACTGTAGTAAAATTAGTTATATGTTGTACCTTAATTTATATAAAACCATAAGAATTTTAGGTTTAGTATTTGACAAAAAGAGAACTATTTGGATGGCAAGCCCAGATTAATTTCAGGGTAATTGGTTCTTGGTCACTAGGGCTCCTCATAGGTTATGATAACTGCTTGCCCTTAGTTTAAGTAAAATGATCTTTTGAGTCTGGCCCATAATGAAGATCTTTGACTAGGACTTGACTCATAAGAGTGAAAGTTTAAAAATTACATGAGTTTGACAGAAGTCTCAGAGCCAAGTCATTCTGTTTCCCTTGAGTGAAAGGAATAGTGAATTTCTAGTGATTAATCAAATAGTTAAGATTTGTGAAACCCAAATGTTAGATATTAAAAATTACATAACATCTCTCTTTTGCCATCTTTGCCACGTCCCCATCTACCTTTTAAGTTTTAGAGGTATTAGATCCTTGGTTTGTGATGTTTAGTTTCAGTATGATGAATTTGAGCTGATGACCGGGGATCCAGATCTGGATATTCCATAGGCAGTAGGTTTATTAAGTAGCTTATTAAGTAGCTTATAGTAGCTTATTAGCTTAAGTAGCTTAATATCTACTACACATTTTATTAAAAACAGAAATCTATTATACTATCCTGTATACAGAGTCTTCTGAGGATAATACATTTGCATAACTCATCCCAATTCTGGCATCATTTCCCTTTTTACTCAGTTTATTTTATATTAAATGAAAAGGTGTTTAGTTAAAAAATAAGGGAATTTGAGAGGATAGTTAGAAAAGGTTGTCTGCTATCACAAACTCATCCTCTGTGTGTTTACTTTAGATATCAAAGCTGCAAATGCTAAAAAAGATAGCAGCCATCATACTGCTGGAATGTCTACAAATAAATCATTTGTAATATCACTTTTAATAGTTGTGGATATCAAATTTCGGCTACAGCTATCAGGGCTCAAACTTACATTTTTAGAGTGAATTTTGGTTGAAGAAATGCGGTCAGCACATACTAACTGAGCACCTCACTGATGCATAGCACAGTGGCTAGGCTTTGTGGAATTTTCCAGAGAAATTGAGATATGGTTGCTGTCTTTGAAGAGTTCACAGTCTAATGACAGATTGTCACATACACGAAATGGTTTAAAGAACAATAAACTGGACGTTTGATCAATCAAAACTAAGTGGTATGGTATATGAAGCACTCCCTGACAGAACAGATAGGGAAGGTTTTAGGTAGAAGGTATGACTTGAAAGTAACCTTAAAGGATATAAGTTTTGGAAAAGGAGGGAAGGGAATTCTAGAATGGAATTACAGCATGAGCTAAGGCAGTGACAGGAACTCAGAATGGGAAGAATATGGGGAGTGGGGATAAGGGGATGTAACTGGAGTGAAGGGGGATAAAGTCAGATGGATAGAGTAGGGCCCTATTCTAGAGCAGGGGTTGGCAAATTTTTCTCTGAAGGGCCAGGAAGTAAATATTTTAAGCTTTGTGGGCCATGTGGTCTCTGTCACGACTACTCAGTTCTGCTATCGTATGAAAGCAGCCATAGACAATAAGAATGAATAACGTGTCTGTGTCCAATACAATTTTATTTATGAAAACAGTGGCCTGTATTTGGCCCACAGGCTGTAGTTTGCTGACCCTGTTCTAGAGCCACAGTTCCCAACTCTGTGACAAGCTGCACATAATGAACTTATGGGGAGTCATAGGATATTTAAATTTTTGAGGGAAATACAGTGATACTTGACTCTTGCCTATAAGCAATAGAAATTATTTTCTGTTGTTGTGGTAACAAATTACCACAAACTTAGTGGCTTAGGACACTAATTTATTGTCTTAGAATTGTATTGGTTAGAAGTCTGTCACAGATCTCTGGGCATTGGCAAGGCTGCATTTATTCCTAGGGGCTCTAGGGGAAAATCTGTTGCTTTGACTTTTCCAACTTTTAGAGGCTGCCAGCATTCCTTGGCCCTCTTCTTCCACCACCATCAGTAGTGGGTTGGGTCCTCATATTGCATCATTCTGATGACATTACTCGTGTCATCACATCTCCTCCTCTGATTCTGACTCTTCTGCCTCACTTTTCCATTGTTAAGGATCCTTGTGATTAGGTTGGATAATTCAGGATAATCTAACGGTCAGCTGATGAGTAACCTTAATTCCATCTTCAACCTTAATTCTCTTGCCATGTAACCTAATATATTCATAGGTTTCATGGATTATGACACAAAACATCTTTGGAGGACCATTATTCTGCCTACCACAGTCTGCCCTCTGAACCTGTAAGGTCCACTTACATCACACATGTAAAATACATTTACCCCATCTCAGCATCCCCCAAAATCTTTTTTTTAAACATTTTTTATTGATTTGTAATCATTTTACAATGTTGTGTCAAATTCCAGTGTTCAGCACAATTTTTCAGTTATACATGAACATATATTTATATATATTCATTGTCACATTTTTTTCTCTGTGAGCTACCATAAGATTTTGTGTATATTTCCCTCTGCTATACAGTATAATCTTGTTTATTGATTCTACAACTTTGAAATCCCATCTATCCCTTCCCACCCTCCGCCCCCTTGGCAACCACAAGTCTGTATTCTATGTCTATGAGCCTATTTCTGTCCTGTATTTATGCTTTGTTTGTTTGTTTTTGTTTTTGTTTTTTAGATTCCACATATGAGCGATTTTATATGGTATTTTTCTTTCTCTTTCTGGCTTACTTCACTTAGAATGACATTCTCCAGGAGCATCCATGTTGCTGCAAATGGCGTTATGTTGTCGGTTTTTATGGCTGAGTAGTATTCCATTGTATAAATATACCACTTCTTCTTTATCCAGTCACCTATTGATGGACATTTAAGCTGTTACCATGTTTTGGCTATTGTAAATAGTGCTGCTATGAACATTGGGGTGCAGGTGTCATCCTGAAATAGGATTCCTTCTGGATATAAGCCCAGGAGTGGGATTCCTGGGTCATACGGTAAGTCTATTCCTAGTCTTTTAAGGAATCTCCACACTGTTTTCCATAGTGGCTGCACCAAACTGCATTCCCACCAGCAGTGTAGGAGGGTTCCCCTTTCTCCACAGCTCT